CATTTTTCTTTTTGATATAAATCGAATTTGCAATTAGTATCAAAAAATTATTGTTTTAAACTTCTCAAAATATTGAAAATGATGCTGATTTAACACTGTAGAGAGTTTTAGATTTCTCTTGCACTTATGTTTGATTTTAGTGAAAAGTAAGTACTCAATATTCGATACTGAGTAGTATCGATACTTTTCTCACGATACTTTTTTAGAATCGATACTTTGCCTCGATTCTTTTTTCAGTACTCGGTATCGATACTTTGCCTCGATACAGTAGACCCTCGCTTTACACGGCACTCTGGGTACACGGTTCTCATACTACACGGAGCTAAAAATCCGACATCCCTCCGACTACACGAGCTTCTTATTACACGGTATTTGGTCAACAGCCCTTAAGTTCGTTGTACAAAAGGGTATTGATGTAAATTTTGTTATCGACTTTTATCTTTTAGACATGCCTGATTATATAATAGCTGCCTAAAAACACGTTTGAGCTGACTACTGCGTCGCGCCAATTTTTGAATAAGGTGTCAATATTCTACATGTCATTTCGTCCGTATTACTCCTACTTCAAGTTGTATTTTTTGGTCTCCGTACAGCACGATAAAAATGGTGCGATTTGTACCAACTGTGAGTCTCTCATAGCACTATGTAAGGTTCCATAGAACGCACTACAAATTAGCCTGAATTGTATGTTAAATACGAGTTTCTTATAGCACGGTTCCCATACTGCACGGTACGCACTTGCCGCGTAAAGCGAGGGTTTACTGTACTTCTAACACTAGCCCTACCTCTGTGGCGTGAGCATATATGAGCGCAAAATATGTGCTACGAGCTACCTACGATGATGCTACGAGCGTACTTATGTGACACTCACAGCACCAAGTCGAACGATAAAAATGACATGTAAGCACGCTCACAACGCGTAAGCGTGCAACGCGAATGCACCCAGTGTTAGCACATGTTGTTCTATAATATTGCACAATTCCGAGAGATAGCATAACACATGTAAGCGTAACCTAGAATTGAAACATGTCAAACTACTTTTGTAGAAAAATATTGTTTTTGGGTTTTTGGGAATAACATATATTTATTCTAATATTTATTTACGAGATATAGATTAAATAATATAATACATTTTTATTTCTAAAGCCTTTTCTGGCGGAGCACACGACGCCAGATTTCCTAATTAGTTCGTGCCGGAAAGTTTTTTACCGAGCAACGATATGATAAATCACAATTTATAATCTTGCCCGACATATTTTACGATCTTGCCAGCCAGATTTCATGTTTAAGCTCTCTTTTCACAACGGCAGTATCCTTAACATAATTTCTTTCTATAACCGTTGCCTAGCAGCGTCGGAAACTGATTTCACAACAACTTCTGTCCTCGAAAATTTCTGCCGTATTTTACGAATAGAGCATGTCCTATTTGGCGATGAATGAACTTTCAGTGTCCAATAGGAAAGCTGTATTTTGTCACGTAAATATCAATACGTACTTGATTCATGTACTTCGATTTTGGAAACGTTCAGTTTTTATATAGTGAATAGCTATATATAGCGATGTGAAATAATTATTAGTTTTTGGAAAACGCAATTCAGTACTCTTAAATTATTCAAATTTTCAAAAAAAAATCAAATATGCATTTGTTTCAAATTTTCGTAATTTTATCTGAAATATCAAAAAATTTCAAAATTTTCAAAAAATTAAAGAAAAATCAAATCGTTTTATTTAAAAAATTCCGTAATTTGCAAAGATACTAACTTGCAAACAAATCTAAATTTTATATTTTTTAAATTTCAAAATGTTTGAAATTTAAAAATAATAAATTTACATAAAACTTTTACTAAACTTTTCATAACCCTTTTAATATTTTTATCACAATATTAATTATCCAATAAAGATACTGATTTTAAAAATCAATAATTGTTATGCTAAACAGGACTATTTTATTATCTTTTTATTATTATTATTTCATTTAATTCTTAGAAATATGATATTAAATCATCTTATGGATTCATCCTGATCGGATACGATACTTGAATGTTTATTGTTTACATTTCACACAATGCTCTGTTGGTACACTTATAAGCATTAGTGTATTTTAGGCCTATAACATATGTATTGTGAAATTTACGGTATATATTTTTAATAATCTATTTGAAAATGCACAAAATTATTATTGATAATAAAATAAGTGAAAATATGGCGCAAAATTCTTGCTTACCTTACCAAAAAACTTGACAGAAATCCTGTTGCAAAAAATACTGGCGTCGCACGACGCCAGTATTCATTGTAACAGGATTTCTGTCGTAACGGGATTTCTGGGGAGAAAGAATTTTGCGCCAGATTTTCACTTATTTTATGATTAATAGTAATTTCGTGCATTTTCAAATAGATTATATATATATATATATATATATATATACTGTGAATTTCACAATTCATATTTTATAGGTCTAAAATACACCAATGCTTATAAGTGTACAAACAGAGAATTGTTAGAATTGTAAACAAAAACATATATGTAGCGCATCTGATTAGGATTAAGTGAAATAATAATAATTGAAAGATAATAAAATGCTTCAGTTTAATATAACAAATATTGATTTTGAAAATCAGTATTTTTATCGGATAATTAATACTGATATATAAATATTAAAAAGTTCGCATTTTTAATTTTGAGTATTTTTGCAAATTTCGAAATTTTTGAATTAAAACGATTTGATTTTTAACTTCCCGTAGGGTGAAGGTTTCTGAACATTTTGGCATACCTCAGAAAAAAATGGATCTGTGTATGTGTGTGTGTGTGTTTTATGTCCGCATTTTTTCATTCACGTTTTCGGGCGCACGGATCAACCGATTTGAATGGTTAAAAAAACATTCGATTCCTATTGATAGGGAGATGTGCTGATTAGTTTTTGACAAAGGCAGGTCTAGCAGTTACGGAGATAAAGAGCAAAGAGTGCAGAAAATAGAAGTCGAGTTTTTGAGAGAACGGAGTATGGGATTTGAATGATCTAAAAAACATTCAATTTGTAATCTTTGGAAGAAGTGGTTATTAGTTTTTGGCAAAGGCAGGCCCAGCCATTTCGAAGATGCAGAGTTAAATGTGCAAAAAATAGCAGTTTTTGAGAGAACTAAGCGTCCGATTTTAATGATTCAAAGAACTTTCTGCTTGTTTTAACAAAATAATTGATTTTGGAAAAAATAATTTTTTTATCAATTTTTTTTTGTATGTTGAAAATAATTCTAATTTTATTTTTAATTTTGACTTAAGTTCTAATATACTTTGAACAAATGATTTTAACTTTGATTTTAATCTATTTGAAAACATTCAATATTTCTCGAATATTTCGTTACGGTACGGGAAGTTCCAGCAATTTGCTTTAAGGCACGATGCCATACACCCCACTAGTTTTTTTAATTTTTTGGAAATTTTTTATTACAATAAAATTTCTTACATTTAGCTGAAATCTCGCTTGCTTTCCAGTCGAGGATACTTTTCAGGAGATTGTAGTGTCGCTGTCATAACTCCTTCGTGATTTTGGTCTAATACGCGTTTTGATACGTTAGCCAGTAATTGAATATGTCTCCCAGTTCCCTGAATGTGGACAGGAATTTTAGGGTCACCCCATGGACACTTATTGCTTTGTAGATATTTGTTGTTTTTGTTCGTAATCCAGTGGTCAATGATTTTTCTAAATAGTTAAATAAATGCCGAAGTGGAAGTTCGTTAAAGTGGAGAAGACACACAAACCAATGCAGTGGCTTCTTTATTTGAATTTTAAGTCGACGTAAAATTCCATTTTTACGCCTGTATTTGCTGGTTCACCATCGTAAAATAAGCCTATCAAAGAATCGAGAGCTATTCATTTATCAGTGAAAAACTCGTTCAATTTGAATATTTTACTTTCAGAATCTTCATTTTCCAATTTTGTGTAACCCAACAATTGGCAACTCAGTTCTTTTAAAATAACTAAATGCGCCCCTTTAATCATTCGTGGATGAAATTTACTATCGATTCTTTCCATGGTAATAGAATCATTTTTTTGGTCGTCGAATGAAAATGCTATTAAATTAGATGAATCATATCGTTTTTGTAGAGCTTGCCTACTTTTCTGTTTGTCACGAAGGCTTTTATGTTTACCCATAATGAGGAGTTTACCCCAATCATCCTTTACGCCCAGGTCTTTCATGATTGCCGTCGCCAGGGCAGAAGCAACTCTATCAGAAATTTCAAATCTGTCACACATTATGGCATAGTTAGAAGACTTGTATCTTGGACTATATGGTCCACGTTTTATATAAGAAGTATTTGTGAACTTTCCGAACTGCTTTTAAAGAGTTATACGCAGTTAGAATTTTCAAAAAATCTTTTTTTCGAATTTTCGGAATGTACATATATTTGAGTATATTCTCTAAAAATTTGAAGTCAATCCGATGACTACTTTCGGAGATGTACCTGAATTTGTAAGGCCACGTAAGAGCGTTATAAAGTAGGTAGTAAAAAAGAAAGTATCGGGTATGTTCAAATAAGGATGGGCTTACGACTCCGCGACCTAGTCAAAAATAAAACTGAATCAATGGAAAAAGATAAAAAAACAATTAATAAAAAAGTACTTTCTGCGAATAGTAAAGCCAATTATTGCATGTGTTTCTTCAGTTGTTGAAATGGCGGCTTACATTGCAGCTGCAATATGCAATGAAGGTACAACATCATTGTTACACATTATGAATGCATTTGGGCTTTTATTAGACACCGCAGCATATGATTATACTCAGAAAGAGGACACAGAGCGCGAGATGATCTCCGACGCGAGAGCGCTAGAAAGAATGGCTCGACGACAACACCAGCTGGACTTACTGGAAGCTAAGGATCCTACACAAGGTCCCTATTATGGCCCTAAAATCGATGATACCATAAAAGTTTAAAAAACAAAATTTACCTATGTGTAAACTACTTCTGAAACTTTAAACGCGTTTATCTCAAAACTGTCATTTCAGAGTTGGTGAGCAAGATTTCTCAGAGATGGCTCAACTAATTTGACTAAAATTTTAACACAATCTTTTTAGATAAATTCTTCAGGTATTGAACAAAGAAATAAGACGTAAAAAGTTTTTTTTACTATTTTTTTTGACAATTTACAGCAAAAATTTCCATCGAAAATGAATTTTTTTTTCAAATTGCCGCCATTTTGTTCAAAATTTTATTTATTTCTTCGTTCACTACCTGCATTTAACTATCCTTTGAAAGAATTCACCCTTCTTTAGTTCAGATAATCTAAACCGATAAAATCATGCTTACCGCCGAACGCCTTTTTATGGAGAACGTTCGGAAAATCATCTCCAGAGACGGTGCACATCCATATTTTGACACGAGTAGTACACAGTTATATTCTTCAAAGTGTGCTCTTTCAGAATTACTATGCACAATAAATAAAAGCTGTATCCACAAAAAATCGTAAAAAAAACTTTTTTTTTGCATCGCAACTGCGTATAACCTCCTTAAACTCAAAACCAACATCTGGAATATATATCTCACCTGGAGTAAAATCGCTAGTTATTATAGATGATGATAGTTCATCTTCAATTTTTGTCTTATATTCTGGTATCGTAGATTTCCTCTCATTATGTTGATCTATCATAAACGCTTATAAATGTTGTGGAATCAGTCCGCAAGAACACAGTATTCTTTTCATATCGCATTTGCATTTTCCAATATAAAATAAGTCTTTCGTAGATTCTACAAACTCCTGAAATAATGTTTCGGTAGACTTGCTTTTATTTGTACTTTTATATTTATCAATCAATCGGTTCAATTTTCTAGCGATACTTCATTTATCCATAACTTGAATATCAATTTTTTCCCACGTCTGAATCAAGTTCGTTACCACATTTGGAGTAAATGTTTTATATGAAAACATTTTATTTTGTTTTTGTAAGTTTTCAGCCCAATAAAAATAATACCTGATGATTTCCACACTTGTTGGAAGATTCACTCCTGTAAATTCTTCTGCTTGCCCAAATGTACTTTGATCTAACTGAAGAACTGAATGAAGACTTATGCAGATTTGTCACATTAATATAATGTGATCGAATTTTCGAGAATTATAATAAAAAAATACTAGCGCACTCTGATGGAAATAAATAACAACAAACTAAACCCGATTTAAAAACCCCCGCACAAACTATTAATGAAAATATAACTCACAATTTGAATTATTTACATGCCTAAATTAATATATTTACTTGCCCATATTACTTTATAAAAGTGCTCATATTACTTAATTTTACTTCATGAAAATAAGTAATAATGCATATCGAATTATTACTAAAAAAATGTAATTTAGATATTATTATTACTGAAAACAATTAATATATAGTACGAGATTTTAAAAATTATGGGCAACATTATTGAAGCAGTTATTTTGAGTGAAAAAATACAAGGTAATATTGTACCTTTACTGCGGATACTAGTATAAGGTTGTTCGGAAAGTCACTTCGTTTTTTTACCACCAGAATTTAACTATATTTTTTTGAATCTAACATCACATTTGCCCTATAATCATTATATGATTTTAAAACTTATATTTTAAGGCTAGTGTGTAAAAAATTATAATCGATTGCATGCAATAGTTTTTGGATGGTGCCACTTTGAATACGGAAAGAATTAAGCAGCATTTTCGACATAATTTACTCTTTTGCTATAGAAAAGATAAAACTTCAATTTAAGTCAAAATGAAATTGACCGATGTGTACTGAAATGACATGTTGATAGTACGACAGTGACAAAATTGGCTTTCTAAATTTCGTTTCTGGTATTTTAATGTCCAAGATGCACCAAGTCCAAGAAGTACGGTTAAAGCTGATAAAGACGCAAAAAAGGCATTTGTTGATGCAAACCGATGAATAAAAACACATGAGATTCCATTGAGTAAAAATTTATCAAATTTAACAGTTCATGACACTCAAAAGGTCTGGGATTTTCCTCGAAACTCAATGTATGGTTCTCATAGAAGAAAACGTGTGTCGTCGCTCTGGCGTCCGCGATTCGCCTTTGAAAAGTCTTGAAAATTATCAGGATTTGAAGAGAATTGTCACTAGGAATTTCAAATGAGATGTAAGGAATACAATACCCGCATTGTTCATGAAACAAAAAAAGAACCAGCTCAAAACAGGTGCAAAGCTAAAATTTGCCAGAAATGTGATGCAGTATGTTTGGTAAGATTTTAAAAGAGTTGTTCATTTTTCAACTTTTCCAGAATAACATAACGGTTAATTCGGATGCCTTGTGTCATCAGCTGGATAAACTAAATGATATACTTTAATAGAAAAGTAGAGAATTAACCCACTACAAGGTATAGTCCTGTATTAAGATGATGCAAGACCTCACAAAAGTTTAGTCAATGAAAATGAAGCTTTTGAAGCTTTGACCTGCCATCATCGGACCATTATTTGTTCCTGTCACTAAAATAAATTTTGATCAAAACTTTGCCAATAACGACCAAAACAATTATGATTTCGAAGATATGCTAATACCAGAAATATGACTAAATATGTTTGCTCAAAACTGCCAATACATAATTTATTAAAGTAATTGATTATTGTGCGAAAATTACGAGCAAAAATGTCTATAAAAACGAAGTTACTTTCCGAACAACCCAATATATTATTGAAGTAAAACTTCTGTAGGCGCGACTAAGGTGTAAATCCGTGCAAATGCAATGGAAGTGCGTTAAGGCAGATAAGGTAAGATAAGAGTCAATGATTCGTCATTAGCTCTCGATGACATGATTTCTATACGGGTCGATTGTGATTGGTCATCGCGTATGCGAATAGAGATCTGTCGTTGTATGCGTACCGGCATCAGCGTTGTATGCGTACCAGCGCCAACGTTATATGCTTACCGTTATCAACAAGGAAATCGGCATAGATAAATAACCATTTTAAAGTTTCATCTTAGTAAAAATCTTGATTTAATAAAAAAAAGCCTGAATCAGATGAATATTTTACCCTGTGCGCGTAAATAATTATAATGAAAACAATAAAACAAATGCAGCATTTGCGCCGTGTATGAAACAAACTTTATTGAAATAATTTCTATATTATTCGTAGTTTCTATATGGTTTCTATAAATCTTTGAAGTTGTTGAAATGGAAAATATTTTTTAGGCAAAACAGTTCAAAGAATGAGATTATATCGCCAGCGAAAAGAAAAAAAATACCATCAGTCAATGAATGTATGTTAATTTTAATTACATGAAGTTCTTCAAACACAATTATTACATGACGAGTAAAGTTGCGAAAACAATATTTGTTTAGGCGTTGTTTAACATAATCCACTGTGTGAACGAATATTATAGAAGTTATTAATCAGCTATTACTTCATTTCTCTAATAAAGGTTCATTTCTAAATGCTAATTACAATTACAAACGGATCATGTCATATTTGAAGTATATTTTTAACTTCCCGTAGGGTAAGTTATTGTAATGGGCCAAAAATCGAAATTGAAAATTTTTACATTTCTCGACGTTTTGAAGGTTTCTGAACGTTTTGGCATACCTCAGAAAAAATGGATGTGTGTGTGTGTGTGTGTATGTATGTATGGATACAAATTTCCAGTCACGTTTTCGGGCGCACGGATCAACCGATTTGAATGGTTCAAAAAACATTCGATTTCTAATGATAGGGAAAAGAGCTGATTAGTTTTTGGCAAAGGCAAGTCCAGTCGTTTCGGAGATACGGAGCAAAGAGTGCAGAAAATAGAAATCGACTTTTTGAGAGAACGGAGTATCCGATTCAAATGATCTAAAAAATTAGTAATGATTGGGAGTAGTGTGTATTAGTTTTTGGCAAAGGCAGGCCCAGCCATTTCGAAGATACGGAGCTAAATATGTAAAAAATGGCAGTTTTTGAGAGAACTAAGCGTCCGATTTAAATGATTCAAAGAACTTTCTGCTTGTCTTAACAAAATAATTGATTTTGGAAAAAAATGTATATATATATATATATATATATATTTTTAGTTTTTTTTGTATATCTAAAATAATTCAGATTTTATTTTTATTCTGACTATAGTTCTAATATAACTTAAACAAATAATTTCAACTTTGTAATTCAGTTTATATAATTCCTATAAATATTAGACAATGTTACAATATTTATAATAATCTATTTGAAAACATTCAGTATTCCTCGAACATTTCGTTACGGTACGGGAAGTTCCAGCAATTTGCCTTAAGGCACGATGCCACCCACCCCACTAGTTTTTATTTCACTTTATTTTAGCAATCAGAAATACAAAAATAATTTCTACGAGCAAAACTGTACATTTAAATAAGTATGATGTTATATAAGATAACCCAGTGATATATCTTACTTAGTTTACATAATTTCGAATGGCCATATCCTTTTCAGTCTCATATTGTCATGCGGTAGTAAGATGTCTGCAACTATTGGGTTTGGGTGTGTCTCGAATTTATTTCTATGGATTAAGGAACGTTCTTGTATTATTTGCCGGACTGTTAACATTTTCAAGTCATTGTGTATTCTAAAGTTTGTCACGTACTATGGTGCGTTTAGAATTGATCTTAGAATTTTATTTTGCATTCTTTTTATTATTGCAATATTTGATTTTGAAGCAGTGCCCCATAACTCTATGCCATACATCCAAATTGGTTTCGTTACACACTTATACAATAGTAATTTGTTCTCTGCAGATAATTTAGAGTTTCGGTTTATTAGCCAATATAATTCTTTCATTTTTTTGTGAAATTTGATTCTTTTTTTTATTAATATGATGTCTCCATGTTAATTTCTTATCTAGATGCATACCCAAGAACCCAAGTACTTTACCACATCTGATTTTGGGACAGGTTTGTTGTTTAGATAGACTGTAGGGCATGTATTATAACGTAAAGTAAACGTTACATGTACACATTTATCTTCATTAATATTTATTTTCCATTTTTCCAACCATTTTGTAGTATATTTAAATATCTTTGAGTTTGTTCAGATGCTTTAGATGTGTTTTGATTCCTGATGAGTATTGAAGTGTCGTCGGTAAAAGTGGCTAATGTTGAATTTTCTAAAATCGGTATGTTTCTAGTAAAAAGAATATATAGAAAGGGGGCAAGAATACTTACTTGAGGTACTCCGGATTGAATCTTAAACTAGAGTCACTAACTTTTCAATATTACTTTCTGAGTCTTTTATATTATTACTTGATGACTAATCTTTACAATAATTTTACTTTTAAATATTTCTGTTACGAAATTCGGACCTGGCAATGCTCGTAATTGTTTTTGTTAAAAATGCTTAGTTAACAATATTTACTTGAACTTAACCTTGATGGTTACGTGAAGTCAACAAAATAATAGTGGTGTGTGAACAATAATCGAACTACCCATTGTTACAAAAATGTTACCCAAGTACAACCAAAATCCTAATAAAACTAGTTGGTTTGGTATTTAGCCTTGAGGCAAGTTACATGAACTTCCCGAAATGTGTAAATAATCGACTTAATAAAAAAAATGTGTAAATAATATACTTTATTAATCCTACTTTAAAAAAAAAACGATAATAATTTTAGCAAACTTTGACGAATTTTTAAAATTAAACTACTTGTCGTTAGGCCATAATATTACAGTAAGTTCTATAAGACCATGATGTATAGCCAAAAAAATTACATGAAAATCGGCTTAAATTTTTTTTTCAACAGTTAATTACAAGAAAACGGCTCGGTAGATTTTCACCTAAAATTAATCAGTACCATTCCCAACTAATATCTTTCGAACAGTTTTTGATATTTTAAAATCGGTTCGGTAGGATGAGCTTAAATGTCGACAAAAATTTAACACTTTTTTTCAACAGTTAATTACAAGAAAACGGCTCGGTAGATTTTCACCTAAAATTAATCAGTACCATTCCCAACTAATATCTTTCGAACAGTTTTTGATATTTTAAAATCGGTTCGGTAGGATGAGCTTAAATGTCGACGAAAATTTAACACTTTTTTTCAACAGTTAATTACAAGAAAACGGCTCGGTAGATTTTCACCTAAAATTAATCAGTACCATTCCCAACTAATATCTTTCGAACAGTTTTTGATATTTTAAAATCGGTTCGGTAGGATGAGCTTAAATGTCGACGAAAATTTAACACTTTTTTTCAACAGTTAATTACAAGAAAACGGCTCGGTAGATTTTCACCTAAAATTAATCAGTATCATTCCCAACTAATATCTTTCGAACAGTTTTTGATTTTTTAAAATCGTTCGGTAGGATGAGCTTAAATGTGGACGAAAAGTTTTTTTCAAATTACAAAGAAACGACTTGGCAGATCGTTGCACAAAACTGACAAACGATAGTCCTCCACGAAATACATCAAATGGCTTTTAAATTTCTAAAATCGGTTCAGGCGTTTTTGAGAAAACGTCGATCAAAAGTCTAATTTTGACAAATGCCAAAAAGACCATACTGATTTTTGCAAACTTTGACGAATTTTTAAAGCTGAACCAGTTGTCGTAGGGCCGTAATATTTTAGTATGATCTAGAACAGGGGTCGGCAACCTTTTAACTGTGGTGTGCCAAGCCACTGTACCAATATGATTCAGAGTGCCGCCTTAATTCTGAACAAGGACGTAGCGTGCATTGGCGGGGCCCCGTATCAAAATTTTTTTGGGGATAAAGTTTCTGCTTCTATGAACAATAATGATCTGAGTGCTGTTTGTGTATCATAGAAGTATTTAACTTCCTGAAAGAAATGTTTAAATTTTTTTTGCCAGAAAATGTTTGTTTACAACGATAGGCTGAGCCGATTTCTCGAAATTAGGAGAAGAGTGCTAAAATTTTCGCCCTCGTTTCAAAATCAAGAACTGTTCGGATTATATCCCCCGGACCTCTTTTTCTTTTAAAAAATCAAAAAATTTGGATTAAATCTAAATTCTTATTGATTGTGTCGATTATTTACACATATCGGGAAATACAAGCAAAGTTTCCTAAGACTTACAACTAATTAGCTAATTTTGTATCAGTTTTATTTTTGAAAAACTTTTTTCAGCATTTGCGGTTGAAACTGGGTAAATTGTATGCAAAAATTACTTCGGGAAAAATTTAAGCAAAAGTATTGAATTTTGACAGCGATATAATAAATATTGAATTTCATATTTTAGACATATTTTTCGAGTGTTTACAATTGGTTATAAAAATTAACAGAGATGATCTTACTGTATTTAGACGAAAGTTTCATGAAGACAGGTGTTTTTGCTGAATTACTCAAGTTGTAATTATTCGAATATACTAATTGAGTCGAAGTCTCTGTACTTTGTTTAATTTCAGAAATTAATATGTATATTTAGCAATAGTATATGTTGAGTTTGAAACAAGATTACGGGTTGCTATACTTTGCCTTTTGTTTTTGAAAACAGTCGTTTACGCTCCATTCCTTTGATAATTTTTCGAGACATTTAGCAAACTGCTGAATTAATTTTAATTTTTTAATTTGCACAAAATGACTTAATAAAATGCTAGTTTTCTATTCTATCGCAATCGCAACTCTCTTTATATTTTTACATTTTACACGCTCATGTTTTATTCGAAATTAAATTTAGTTGCAAGGAAGTTTTCATGATTATTTTAACTTTTGTTATTTGTAAAATAAGATAAAAATTCGTAAGATTCTATTAATATTTGGGCTGGTTGGGCCCCCATGGCCCGGAAAAATACACTTTAAAACAATAATTTTACATTTCTCTTAATGAAATTAAATTTCACTGAACAAATTTTTCACGATTAATTCGATTTTTATGAAATAATTTTTTTATTATTAATATTTGCTTACGGACGTTGGGGGCCCCTCTGGCTTGGGGCTGATATGGCTGATACGGCGGTAGTTACGCCCCTGATTCTGAAATATATAATTAGGTTCTAGGAGAGATGAATTAAAACCAAATTTATCTTTTAAACATATTTATTAACAAATAACCTACAATTCTAACATAAACTAAACAATTTTAATGTGAACCTTGTCCCTGTACATTTTTGCTTAACAATTCAATATCCGGGGTATAATTTGTTACTTTTAATTTCACACATGATTCTGAATGTTCAGTTGTTAAACGACTTCTTTGTGAACTCAAAATATTTTTCATGTGTGAAAAAATTTGTTCACAAAGATATGTGGAACCAAAAGCTGAAAGGAGAGCGCATGCAATTTTCTTTAAACAAATAAATCTTTCCGGCAATGACATCCAACAATTTAATATGACCGTCGATTTTTCTATAGAGTCATCTTCTAGATTTTTTCGTAGTTCTTTAAATTTTGTTTTCCATAATTCTGACGATGTTAGTTCGATAATTTCCATTTCTAAATTATCAACATTCATCCACTCGAAAATTGGACAATCGAACGGTATTATTGATGAATCTAAATCTGGCTGTATGAGGAAGGAAAATATAGGCACATAAGCTTCAAAATCTTTGCATCTTTTGCAAAATTCATCTTTAAGTGCTTCAACGTAGGTTTTGAGTTCATTGTTGTTTACGGTCGATTCATTTGCAAGCGCTCTCACATTTGGGAAGTATTTGTAGGTGCTCGTGTTAATATCACGTAAAAATATATTTAATTTTGACGCAAATGCTGTCCAATATTCAAATAATTCGAGCACCGTTTGGCGCTTTCCTTGCAATTTCAAGTTTAATTCATTTTGATGATTTGTTACATCGGTCAGAAACATTAATTTGCCTAACCATTCTTCATCGTTCAATTCGGGGAAATGTTGTTCCTTTTCGTTAAGAAAAACTTTGATGGGTTCCAGACATGACACAAACTTATTTAAGACATTTCCCCGACTAAGCCAACGAACATGGCTGTATGAGGGAAGGTCAACATATTCACTTTCCATTTCTTCTAAAAGAGATTTAAATTGTCTGTGTGTTAGTGAAGAGCGAGACACTATAAAATTAACTATTTTAACAACAGTGTTCATTACAGGAATTAAGCGCTGTGACGAAATTTTGGCAACTAAACTTTCCTGGTGTATTATACAATGGAAGTTCAATATTTTATGTCCAATATGATTTTCAAGAAGTTTGACAAATCCTCTATCTTTGCCAATCATTGCAGCTGCGCCGTCAGTAGTTACAGAAAATATTTTTTTGACATTAATGTTCTTGCTGTCAAAATAACCTATGAATGAAGAAAGAATATCCTCCCCCTTAGTTGTCCCATACAGAGGAATCAAAGTACACAATTCTTCATAAACTTGATCTTTATTACAATACCGTGCAAATACCGCAAGCCGCGCAATATCATTTACGTCGGTACTTTCATCAACAGCAACACTAAATGAAACAGCTTCTTGTAATCCAGCATTCTGTTTTGTTGTTACATTGTCTGCCATTTCAGTTATTCTTCTTTCAATTGTTCGCGCAGAAGCCGGTATTTCTTGAATTCGGGATAATATGGTTTGTTGGTTAGGTAAATCGCTAAACAACTTTTCAGCACTTTTTATAAAAATTTCCTTTATATATTCTCCATCTGTAAAGGGTTTGCCTTTGGCAGCTATGCAATGAGCAATTGCGAAGCTGCATTCTGTCGCTTTAGCCTTCGTTCCAGTCATTCCACAAAAAAAAGTTATTTGTTTCTTATAACAAGAAACAGCTTTCTTTATAGTTTCACATTTCTCATCGTTGCTATTAAATGTGGACTGATGTTTGGTTCGGAAATGTCTTTGTACACTTGACGTGCGGCATACTACACTTTCGCGGCATATCGCACATACAGCACGATCCTTTTGTTGTATAAATCCATATTCATTCGTCCAACAGTCTTGAAAACCGCGAACATCTAATTTTTGTTTCTTACTCTCCATTTGATTAAATACGAATGAATTATAACAAATATAAAATCAATAAGATACAAGTCTTCACAAAAAAAGTTAGAACGAAAAGTAGCGACCAAACGAAATGCAAGTTTAACTGCGCAAGTTTAAGCCCACCGCACAAGCACACAAGCAAATGGTGCGCAGCACTCGCAGTTGATAAACGAGAAAGAGGGGGGGGGCGAGTGATACTCCAGCATTCAGCTTCGTGAAGGCCGCTTCGATAACTACTCGGCACTGCACATGTTTTATCCCTTTTACTCCGAATGCGGTCTCAATCAACCTTCGCGCAGATTTTCATGAAATTAGCGAACCACATTATAATCAAACTTTCTCTCTTATTTTCAACATTTTCTCTTATTTAAAAATCACTTCGTCTCGATATATTTGCGATTTTCCTAATTCCTTTGTAGCGTGCCATTCAGAATCCCTTCGCGTGCCAAGCCTGGCACGCGTGCCGTAGGTTGCCGATGCCTGATCTAGAAGACTATGGTATCTATCGTCAAAAAAATAATCATAAAAATCGTCGAAATTTTTTTTTTAAAAACTTTATTACAAGAAAACGGCTCGGCCGATCTCTACCAAAAACTAATCAGCACGATTCCCAACCAATATCTTTCGAACGGTTTTTGAATTTTCAAAATCGATTCAGAATTGCGGGCTAAAACGTAGACGAAAAATTTTTCACTTTTCTGCCATTTATGAAGAAACAGCTTGGCCGATCGTCGCACAAAACTGACAAACAATAGTTCTCGTCGAGATACATCGAATGGCTTTTAAATTTTTGAAATCGACCCAGCCGTTTTCGAGAAAACGTCGATTTACGGCAAAAAATCTGTTCACATACACACACACACACACACACACACACATACTTTTTCCAAATTTGGTCTCATTCGATTCAGAATGGCTTGAAACGTCGAGAAAACATAAAATTAGCGAATCGGTTTTTTTGATGAAAACATAAACTTCTCCTTCGGGAAGTTAAAAATTGTGAAATTTCAGTATTCACTCTTGTTTGAAAAGTTTGGATTTCTAAATACGACTTTAATATTGGATAGAAAATTTCTGGTAAATATTGTTTAATCTTGAAAAGTAAACCACGATGCCATACTTTGTCAAAAGCTTGTTTTATATCTAGAAAGACTCCGCTGCAATACTCTCTATTTTCAAATGTTTCATTGATGATTTGAACTAACCTATGAACCTGCTGAATGGTAGAGTGTCTGTTTCGAAATCAAAATTGATGTGTTGGAATCCAATGATCAGATGGTACTACAGTATTTATTCGGTTAAGTAAAATTTTTTCTAAGAGTTTGAAAAGTATTGGCAATAAATTAATTTGTCTGTAAGAGGACACAATGCACAAGTCCTTCCCTGGTTTTGGTATTATTATAATTTGTGCTGCTTTGAAGCAGCGCGGCCAGTATCCTGTTTTGATGATGGCATTGAATATGAATGTTTAAAGCAATGTTGTTGTGCCTAGTAGTTCTTTCATAATTCTACCAGAAATTAAGTCATATCCTGCTGACTTTTTAGGATTGAGTATTTGGATTTGATGATGAACTTCTTTTGGTTTGTTGCGTATTATTGGTTGCAAAGGTCCTATTTGTCTTAATGTATTTTTAATGTCTTGATTAGGAGTATTATCAAATGGCTGGAATACGCATTCAAGATATTTTGCAAAAAGTTGGGCTTTCTCTGCATCGCTTTTGGCCCAGGGATCATCTATACTCCTTCTAATTGGCGACGCAGAAATTTTAGGTTTCTTAGAGTTTCTAATAGGCTTCTATATTGATTGATCTGTTCTTGATAGTTGTATTATATATTTTTCAAATTCCTCATTTCTGATTTTGTTTAATTTATATTTAAGCTCTCTGCATAACTTGTTATTTATTTATTTATTTATTTATTTATACGCCAATCGCCTTTATACCGCATTTTTAATATAGTATGCTAATTCATAACTTGTATATTTATATATATACGAGTATATATATAGATATATATATATATATATATATATATATATATATATATATATAAATATATATATTAAAGAAGTTAATTAGAAGTTAAGTTTGATGTTGAGAAATATGAGTAAGTTCTTCAAGGGCAATACATCAAATAAAAGGCAAAGATTTAGAAGTTATTCTTTAATTTTTTCCAAACGTTTCGACATAGGATTTTATGTCATCATCAGTGGATCTACAGAATGAACATTGAAAAATTAATATAAACTAGGAAAATATGAAAAATTGGAAAAAGAACTATAGATACAAGTAATATAATTATAACAATAACAATTATAACTAAACAGATAGACAAACATAAGAAATGAAAAGTAAAAAGAAATATATACAAACATACAAAAGCGTAATATATATACATAAATATACACATAAACAGACATATATATATATATATATATATATATATATATATATGATATACATGTACAAACACGTACACATACACACATATATATATACATAATATGTATATATATATATATATATATATATATATATATATATACATACAGAGCCGGTCCTGCCTTGCATGCGATGCATGCAAAAAATGCGGGAGCACGCTCTAGGGGGCGCCAAAACGAGTTTCCGAAATTAAATTTACAATATAATATTTATATTTTTTATATAAAATCTAGAAATATTTATATAAAATCTAGAATACTTAATAAATTATAATAAACAATTTAACTTAATTAGGGATACCGAGACACAAAATGCATTTATTCACATTTATTTTGCAATGTGATATCAATAGAAACAATTAACCGATTGATAACTCTGCAAATTAGTAAATAACAGCTCTGTTCATTGCTTAATCTACTTATTCAATTTTTTCTTTGTTTAAAGTTGGAATCGAAAAAGAAATTATCTAGTGCTAGTGTTCAATTAGATAAGCTTAAACCTGCGAAAGATTAAATTAATTATTTTGAATGTTGAAGACATGCGTGGTTAGGGTTATGGAAATGGAACAAATATGAAAAATGGAATTAAAATTTACTTTGGAACGAAAATCTTAAGGCTTTTTTATAACAAGCGGTATCCATACTCTAAATTTAATAATTAATAACTATGCAGAAATTATACATATCAAATATAACAAGTTTTTGTTAATACAGTTCAAGAAATGTGTAATTTTTTTGCAATTTCTACTGATTTTTGTACAATACTTTTAAAATACGTTAAAAATTTAACTTTAAAACAACAAACTGATACTCTGAATATGACGGGAAAGCATGGATAAATACAATTCGGCTCTTACGATATCAATAAGGAGAAGTTTACGACGCATTTTTGGATATAGTAAATAATGAAAAATTAAATTAAATTAAAATTAAAAAAATCGAATCGAAAACATGAAATACGAGTATTATGATTGAAAATGAAAAGCTGGTTTTTTGGCACTCTTGGCATGATTTGCTCAAGAGAATAAATCGCATAATAAATAAGTAAAATGTTTTAAAACCCTAATATTAATATTGCACATACGTTAAAAATAACTGAAAATTTAAAAATATTTGATTATAATCAACCGCCGATTCGCCTCGATTTTGTGAATAAATTTAAAATCAATGTATTTTATACGCTTTTAAATTATATCTAATTTTTTGTGTACTAAATTCAAAATAATTAAAAATTAATTTTTAAAAAATATGTTAATATTTATATAATTTTAATGATAAACTGTCAAAACAGTTAATATTAATAGGGGAGGGGGGGCGCTAGAAAAAAAGTTGCATGCGTGCGCTAATGACCCCAGGACCGGCCCTGTATACATACATACACACATATATACATATACATACACAAATATATATATATATATATATACACATACAGACGCATACACATATATAAACAACAAAGGTAACTTACATAAATATGGTCTTACATCAGTAACTAGCGCATGGCACATAATTTTCTTTTTTTATAATCATACAGACACATACACATATATAAACAACAAAGGTAACTTACATAAATATGGTCTTACATCAGTAACTAGCGCATGGCACATAATTTTCTTTTTTTATAATCATAAACTTGTTTTTTGTTTTTGTTGAACAGAGTATAGCAAAATATTTGTGAAATATATGATATATTTTGCACGGAGAAAGTAGTTTATGTGTACGTTTCCGAGGCAATAATGAAACATGTGTTTAAAAATTATTTGAAGAGACCGTTTGAAGGATAGTTGGCGAGTTTTTTTACAATCGGTGTTTTGAAGTATGAGTGAAGAGGCTAAGAATCAAAGTTCGGGATCGGACCGCGTAAGGGTAGGTTTACAGGTTCGGAATTACGCTAGTTAAGAGGAAACAAATTTGGAAATATTATTGAGTATCACCTGATAATTTTCACAGAGTATGGAGGCATCACATCTTTTATTAATGCAAGATTTATTAATGCTAATTAGACAGGATTCAGCAAACCTTTTCTGTATAATGTTCTGTTCGTGATAAAGTATACTAGCGTTGTAAAAGTTAAAAGAATGTTTACATTTTTTTATATGTTCTATTATCATGGTTTGATTTTGTCGAGGATTTTTTCAATTATTATCATGTTGTTTTAGTCGTTTTATTGATTTCTGTCCAGTTTCACCTATGTAAATGGAATCACAATCATTGCATTTTAATTTATAGACAATATTTGATGTGCGTTCTAAACTAGTGGGTGATTATAGTTATATTTGTTTTTATCCTCAGGTTTATGTTAACGCTGCCATATGGCTCTCGCATGTCTTTTATCCTGTATTAAAACTTTGACTTCAAGTGATACCTCAGACTTTACATTTATTTGTAGATATGTGTATATATGGAGTAGCTTTTTGTGCTGATGTTTGGATATTCTTTATTAATGTTTCTGTTGCTGCTTCAATTTCGGCTTCATCCTTGAGTGAAACTTTGAGGTTTGTTTTTTCAATTAGGTCTACCCGAAATTTATCCCAATTTGTATACTTGTTAT